ATCCATCTTCAGGTCTTAAGGCAGCTCCCAACATAAATTATCTGACTTGTCCACTGTTTATTCTGCTGGATGAACAAGCACAGCATCCCTTTTGGTCCTCCTGGACTATTCTACTGCCTTCCTCTTCCGCAGCAAGAGCCTGAATAAAGCAGCACTGCAGTGACAGTAGTGTGGTCCTTCTGGCTTCCACTGAAGCCTGAGGAGTCCTGCACGTAGCAGAAGTGATTTATCTTGATAGATTTACTGCAGGCAGAGAAGGCCCCTCACAGAGAGGGCATGCAGCTGAAAAAACGAGTGACGATGCTGTGTTTTCTGCTCCAGTTCCTTTTCCACAGCATTTTCGTGGGAGTCAGTCATCAATAAAAGCCTAATTCTGAAGAGCACAATCTGCTTCCTTCACATCCCACCTACAGGACAGTTGTTCTGCTCCCAAACGAAGAAGGGATTTTTCAAGACCTTCACAGTGAGGCAGAGCATCTCAAGCAGAAGGAATCGGATGCGAGCGAGCCCGGATGTTGTGGTGGTTGCCCAGACTGCTCCACAAGAGATGCTATAAATCACCTCTGTCTTTGACAGTTCACCCTACACGGTTTGTCATGTTGCAATGAAGTGTTCTGAAAGGAGGTGACAGGAAAATGAAAACCTGAATTCTATACACGAGACTGAGATGTACAGCTGGTCTACTTTCTCAGTGCCATCACAGAAACTTTACACATTTTAATTCATTCTTTATAGTAACATGCAATCACTAACCACCAGGCTACTGGTGATCCAAACGGCTAATGTTTGATCATCAAAACTACTAATTTTGATAAGGAGATGCCTGTTTAATAATCTCAAAAAATCTTATTTCAAATGAACTACTAGTCACCTTCACTAGTCATCTTCACAGCCTCACCCTGAACTGGAACTACTGACTCACAGGTGAGAAAAAAAAAAAACAAACCAGCTTTGCTCAAATCCCTTTTCTCTAAAGTTATACAAGATCCAAAGAAGCCTGACACAAAAATACCATTCCAACCTTTTGCCTCATAACAAAAACTTGTGATACCGCTCTAAAACATATGAAGATGTTACATGATGGCACTGAACACCAATAAAGCAAATGTATGCTTGTGACAAACAATAATCCTGTTTTGAAGACCTAAACCCCCAAATTATTGTATTTCCACCCACCAAGTATTGGCCTCTCCATTAGCACACAATCATTAGGTAACACAACTAATTTATGTTAAGCTTTTTGTCTTCTCTGCCCTCAGCCACCATGTTTTGTCAGGGGCAGGACAGTGGGTACATGTTCAATGTCTTGAAGGAGCTTTTTTGAATCCCACAAACACCTTTCTGTTAATAAGTTCAGAGAGCTGCCATTTAACTTTTACAAGTAAATAAACATTTATAGCATCTAAGGACTTCTTTGTCCAATTCTCACACATGCAACAAAACATATCTCTAGTTCATGGACACAAGATCTGTTAGGGACTCCTCAATTTTGTCCATTTTTAATGCTGGCAGTTACACGCCCACACCAAAACACCATACTTGTGGCCAAATCTCCCTGAAGATACAAAAGCCTCTAAAATTTATCAGGAGCTAACAAAATTTAAAGCTACAAAACCAATAAAGATCATTTTTCTGACATAACTCCTACATAACATTTCATGAAATAATTACTGCACAACCTGACGAATCTGAGAGTAGAATGACAGAATCAGTTTTAGAAAAACATCCTATGACAGAGGGGGAGGAGAGGTGGCGTGGGGGCAATTATAAAAAAAAAAGTTACCTCTATCCTTATTCAGACATTCCTACACACCAAGGAAAGGTCAGCACTCAAACACAGCCAGTGTTTTCTGGAGTATATGCAGCAGTAATTTCTTTAATCCAATTAGTAAGCACAGTTAGAAGGGAGGAAGGTTGGGTCAAGCACACCTCACAATTTCTGTGTAAAAGGCTCAACTTTCTGCACCTGCTAAAAAACTGTTACAGGTAAATAACACACTTTTCAAAAGTTTCAGGAAAGGAAAGTTAAAATACTATCTCTGCTCTTTGCAGTGGGCAGGTTTTTCTGTAAATTTGATGTTTGCCCTCACCGGTGAGACTCCTGCTGCCTGCAGGATGGCTGTGCTGGAACTACAAAACAAGACCAACAAACTGAACTTTAAACAAGAGTGTCAAAGGGATGTGGAGCTTAAAAAAAAAAAAAGACTAATGAAGAATATGCATAAAGAGACCTGACTTGGCATAACTGCACGTCAGTACCAATGCTGCTGGTTTTATCTTCTTCCAGTGGCCAAAAAGAGACTTTTAACACCACAAATACAGCAATGGTCTTCAAAAACACAACATTACACCAATACCCTGACCTACGATGCAGTGTCGGAAATTTTGTTCAATATGAGAATGTTTTGTTGAATCTGTCCCTCTTTTTGTTTGTTTGTTTGTTTTAATACTCAGTACACATACCTAAACATCAATTTATAGTAATCCATTCAGTTTGCACCACAATTAAAACAGGTAGCTGGGTTGGATACGACACAGGTCAGGAAAAACCCAGCATGGTTTAATAAACTATGTAGCTTCTTTATGTAAGGAGTGTTAAGATTATTGTTACACACAAAGATTTTCTCCCAGACATAAATAAAACCTGTCTAATGGCCAAAGTAATGTTTCAAAAAGATCATTCAACCACCTTTAAAGCTTCAAACAGGTGCTCTGATGTTCATTAGAAAGTCTGCATTTGTTTCAATATTGGTATATGTTTCTGTATTTCAAAAGTTATACAATTATTTTGGCATCTGTACTCTTCTTGAATTGGGAATTATGCATATTTTTACAACAGGGCTGTTCGCCTCTGCTTTAAAAATTTCTCACAGCTACAAATCTATCCACAGCATAAAAAAGCATGTTGTGCAGAAGGACAAATCTCTTTTTTATGTGTAATAATTTTTTATTATATTACACATCACAATTTAAATCACCTATCTCCAGGATCTACTGCAAATGAAATTATACTTGCCAGAGTGTGGGATTACTACAAGGTGCAAGAGGCTTCCCACACTACAGAACACACTTTGAAGAAATACTGTTATAATCTTTAATCTTCCACTCTGACATCAGCTCATCAGCCACCAAACAGGATTTCTTGCTTTTAGTAACTTTTGTCAGCCAACAGCATGTTAAAAACACCTCAACAATGTAAAAAACAAAGTATGTTAAAAACTGCCAGAGGGCAGGGTTAGATGGGATATTGGGAAGGAATTCCTGGCTGTGAGGGTGGTGAGGCCCTGGCACAGGTTGCCCAGAGAAGCTGTGGCTGCCCTGTCCCTGGAAGTGTCCAAGGCCAGGTTGGACAGAGCTTGGAGCAACCTGGGAGGTGTCCCTGCCCATGGCAGGGGTGGAATGAGATGTTCCTTAATGCCCTTTTTCTCCCAAACCGTTCTGGGATTCTATGATCTTGGGATCTTCCTATTAATCTGATGAAAGCACTGGAAGGAAGCACCAGAGCCACCTGATCTTAGCAATAATTTGCTATAAATACTTTTCTGCTGAATTTAGCAGGTAATATCAGGGATTCGAGGCTGTGCCAGTAAAACACCAGCACAGGGCTGGAAGAGGAGGATCTAACGGATGCTCCAGGCAGGTGAGAGTGCTGAGCTGGGTCCATCATTCCCTGGGCCGTCCATGGGCTTCTGCTGATACAGCAGCAACGTGGAAAGTCAACACAGCCTACAGAAAGGACAGCACAAGGCCTTCCCAAGCTCCTGGCAATCCAAGGAGCAAGGACAGTTTTGAAGCCACCCCAACTGGAGCAACTTCAGTGGTTTTCAGCTGGGAATTGACACAACGTTGGGTTACACAACCCTGCGTTAGGAAACTGGGCCCAACCACCCGGGAGCCTCTTTCCACTCCCCTGCACTCCCAAAAGTGATCCGCGCAGGGAATATCAACAGCCTGGTTACTCCTGAAAATGCCTCCAATGATGAGAGGTGCAGCCCAGCACGTTATCCCTCAGCACAGGCAAGGGGAGAAATCAGATTACGGCCCCACGAACTCCCTATGCTCAGCACAGAAGATTAAAAAGAATAAATAAGTTTAAAAAAAAAACCAAACACTGCTTGGCATGAAGGCATAGGAGGTAATACAAAGCCTGGTAAGAGACAAATTCTGTTTTAAAGTCAAATATGCCTCACTTTCAATAAATATTGTCTTTCAGAAGCATGAAAACAAGTGCCAGGAGAGAGCAGGAGGTGGAATGAGCCCCAGCAGACCTGAGATGCTGCAGAGCACCAGAAAACCCTCTGGTTCTCAGGAAGAGGATGGAAAATACACCAATTCATCACCTATGCAAGAATAATAAATTCATTATGAGCACAAAACAAGAAATACGGGTGTGAACCTCTGGCATTCCAGTACTGAGGGCACATGAAGGGACACAGGGGCATCCTGGGGACCCTGAGGGATCCCTGGAATCCTGTCAAGGGAGCACCTTTGGGCTGGATAAAGGGACACAGGCACATCCCAGAGATTCTGTGAGGGATCCTTGGATCTCTAGGGGACACAGGTACACTCCGGGGACGCTGTGAGGGACCACTGGATCCCTAAGGGACACAGACACGCTCCGGGGACGCTGTGAGGGATCACTGGACCCCTAAGACACACAGGCACATCCTGTGGACCTGCGAGGGATCCCTGGATGCCTGTCAGGGAGCAGCCGGGGGGTGGATAAAGCGACACCAGCACATCCTGGGGACTCTGCGAGAGATCCCTGGATCTCCCATAAGGGATCCCTGGAGATGCCCCAGCCCGGCCGGGGACACGGCGGTGCTGACGTTACTCTCCGCAGCGCCGGTGCCGACTTACACAAGCGCATCCCTCCCTCTGTCGCGACACGGGCCCGCGCCACGAGGGGACGGTGGCGTTGGGATAACCGGGGGGAATCTCGGGGGCCCCTCTCGGAGCCGGCGCCCGCCGAGTCCACCCGCGGAGGCCGCGCTTACCGCCGGAGCCGAGTCGGTGCCGGGTCAGAGCCGGGTCGGTGCCGGGTCAGTCCCAGGCCCCTCGGCCGCCGCCGCCGCCGCTCCCGGTCCCCTCACGGCCCCTCTCGGTCCCCGCCCGCCTCCACGTCGCCGGCGCGGCACCGCTGCGCGTGCGCGGAGAGCGCGCCGGGGGCACCCGCGGGGCACGACGGGAGTTGTAGTGCGGGAGGGGCGGGCGCGGAACCCCCGAACCGGGAGCGGGGCGTGACCCCGGAGCGTGAGGGGGGAGCTGAGACCCTCTGACCCATCGGGTCTGACCTCACCTGCGGAGCTGCCTCCTGTGCCCTGGGGAACAGCAGCACAGGGACGTGGAGCTGCTGGAGAGAGGCCAGAGGAGGCCACGGAGATGCTCCGAGGGCTGGAGCCCCTCTGCTCTGGAGCCAGGCTGGGAGAGCTGGGGGGGTTCACCAGAGAAGAGAAGGTTGTATGGAGACCTGAGAGCCCCTTCCAGTGCCTAAAGGGGCTCCAGGAGAGCTGGAGAGGGACTGGGGACAAGGGCTAGAGGGACAGGACAAGGGGAATGGCTTCCCACTGCCAGAGGGCAGGGTTAGATGGGATATGGGTAAGGAATTGGTGTCTGTGAGGGTGGTGAGGCCCTGGCACAGGTTGTCCAGAGGAACTGTGTCTACCCCTGGATCCCTGGAAATGTCCAAGGCCAGGTTGGACGTGGCTTGGAGCAACCTGATCTAGTGGAAGGTGTCTCTGCCCATGGCAGAGGGTGGAACAAGATGGGCTTTAAGGTCCCTTCCACCCCAAACCATTCTGGGATTCTATTCTGTGACTCTATTCTGTGATTGTGTGACATGCTCTGCAGACCAAGGCTGGTATTCTCTGAGCAGAGCACGATGCAGGTGTGAGCAGAGACCTGCTGGGCAGGTAGGACAGGGGAGCAGCAGCAGCAGCAGACCTGCCTGGTCTGGGATTTGGGTGCAGGACTTGTCCCACTAACCACCTCCTCTCGTGGAAAGGTCCTTCCTTGCATTACAGTCCAGTTCCACAGCCTCTGCCTCCCCTTCCGTGCCCGTGCAGGCTGCAGATCCAGCTCCTGAGTGAGTCATGGAGTGGCCCATGGCAGGGGGGTGGAACGAGATGGTCTTTAAGGTTCCTTCCAACTCAAGCCAGTCTGGGATTCATTCTGTGATTCTCTGCTCTGCATCCCACCTTTTCAGTCAGAGGGACACAAGGTAGCTCTGGAAAGTGGGACTAAGAGCTAGTAGGACAGATGGAAGGATGAACTACCAGGCACAGCCTTGCCCTCACGCTGCTTTAAATCATTGCTTCTGCCTCTGGTAACCTCCGTGTCTGAGGTCCTTTTTGTGCCACCAGTGGCTGGTTCCAAAGGTAGCTGTTCGTTCCCTAGAAATGAAGCCCTTCCCAATGTAGCCCTGAGCAGAGTCCCACATTCCACATGGTGTGTGATTCCCAATATCCATCCGGGCTCTTACACGTACCCATAACCGGGCTGTGCACGCAAACAGCACAGGTGGGGTGTGACCACTGTGCAAACATTGCCACCTTACCACAAGAATCCTGGCATGGGGTTGGCCCTCACATCCACACAGTGCTCGATCAGAATGAAGGTGGTGCAATAAGGGTTGTGCAGGATCAACAGAGCAGCTGTAAAACGCTGCGTGCACAGAAAGGGAGCTGTAAAACAATCCCCACGCCAAGAACAAGAATCGCCACATCTGCCTGTGTATAAATACATCTATTCACAATGTTTCGGGTAGTTCATGTTTCAGTGCCCCACCCCTGGAAGTGTCCAAGGCCAGGCTGGATGGATCTTGGAGCAATCTGTGTCCCTGCCCATGGCAAGGGAATTGGACCACATGATAATTAAGGTCCCTTCCAACCCAAACTACTCCATGATTCTAAAACAACAGTGAAAGAAGAATGCAGCACCATCACCTAAAAGCATTCCTAAAGCAAGAGAGTCACTGTGGCAAACACGGCCTTCCAGACCATTTCGACTAAATTACTGCAGTAAGGTTCACTGAAACCCAAAAATAATGGCAATCTGCTAAAACCAAAATATGATTTGGTTCAGTGAGCATGTTCTAACAATCAGAAAACGTCACAAGGAAGATAATCCCTTCTTTCATGTCCTGGGAAGTTTAATGAAACAGAATTAGTTCTCACTAAAGGAGATTTAGTTAACCTAAGTGTAAATTAAATTTCTCTTCATTTCCTTCACCTGCAGCCTCTGAAAGGACTGTTCTTCCAGCATTAATGTTCTGCATTGTACAGAGATCAAGAAGGAATGACTCTGAGGATTGAACTTCAGCAGCAAGTCCAACAGCTCCCCAGAATCCCAGATGGGCCATGATTGCTACATCTGGGTAATAACAGCATATTATGTTAATATCATTACATCAGAATTTAACTGTGTTCTGTGAACACATCTCAATAAAGATCACTTTGCAGTGAACTTATTATCAGTTTAGACATCCTTAGCAGCTGTTTGTGTTACATTTAACCTGCCAGAATTTCCTTTTCTTTCAGAATCAGGCCCATCAAAATAACCCGCAACATAAAATTTTATTTAAGAATTTTTTTGCATGCACTTGCAGGTTTTTTTAAACATGAATTTCAGTTAACTTCTTGGCATCCAGCTACCTGTGCAAACCAACTCATGGAAGGCACCACATCACAGTTAGACCTTCCCACTGAGAAAAAAATACTTGAAATTAGTTGATTTGAATTATGCTTTTTCAAATATTTATTTATTGATCCTTCCTCAATAGTATTTAAATAAAGCCAGGTGGTTTTAATTGTGAGGGTCTTAGGACTGGATTTACGGAAGTACTTTGGTCCCTAAAGATGCCAACTCTGCAATTTTCTAAAAGTCTGCAGCGTAAATTAAGCTGCTACGTGGTCTAGAAAATTCTGGCAGATGTCCACCTGCCATCATAGGATACCTAAACCTTTTTAAATCTTATTTTTAGTGAGTAACAAAAATATGGGAATTTTCTCACTTAAATTCACTTGCTATATATTATTCTCATGTGAGGATTTCCTTAATTTCTGTCTACTTCTTTTCCTTAAACAAGGCTTTGTGCACTTCTTTGCATCCCAGATGATCTCCTCCACTCCTGCCCAGTCTCAGGCAGTTCCTTTGCTTTCACAGGATTTTTTTTTTTATAGGAACAGAAGAGTTATAACAAAAATCTCCTACCAGAGCTTCCAGTGAAGTGCCTCACTGAGGTAAGTTTTGTGATGTAGATTACTCACTTCAGGGTTTAGCTGCAGGTAGTAGAAGTACTGGAGCAGCATTCCAGAAAGCATAAACTTGTAGTTTCACTTGCATTATCTGCCTCTTTTGGTTTTTGCATTTTTTTTTCAGTAGGCCTGGTGTTTAAATACAATGTTGACACAAAGCTGGAAGCCCAGTGCAGCCTGCAGTCTAATTTGCTATACCCTTTATTTTCCATGTTATTGTCTGATGCACTTCCTTGTGTAATAATATCCTGAATAACTCAAAATAATTAATTACGCACACTTTATAAATTGACTGCCTAGATTTACAGATTAAAGGAGCCCCAGGGCAGCTCTTGCTCTGCTTTTTGTTGCGCTCACATCTGCTAGAGGTAGATACACTCTAAACTTCTGGCCTTCACTGTTTGTGAAGTGCCCAACACAGTAAAACAGTGGCTGGGGTTACCTGGGACAGGAAGCACAAGGGAAGGGACAACCTTTTCAGCAATGCTCAGGATATTAGGACACATATTCCTGTTCAGCTGCTCAACTGTAGCTTGGACTCTGCGCTGCTGAGGCCCCTCCAGTGCTGGGGCAGTTCTGGGCCCTCAGACAGGAGAGACATTGAGGGGCTGGAGCATGTGCAGGGAAGGGAACAGAGATGGGGGTCTGGAGCAGCAGGAGGGGCTGAGGGAGCTGGGGGGGCTCATCCTGGAGAAAAGGAGGCTCAGGGAGGACCTTCTGGCTCTGCAACTCCCTGACAGGAGGGGGGAGCCGGGGGGGGGTCGGGCTCTGCTCCCAGGGATCAAGGAACAGGATGAGAGGAAACGGCCTCAAGCTGTGCCAGGGGAGGTTCAGGTTGGACATCAGGAGGAATTTCTTCGTGGAAAGGGTGGTCAGGCATGGGAAGGGGCTGCCCAGGGAGGTGGTGGATCCCCATCCCTGGAGGTGTCCAAGGAAGGACTGGATGTGGCACTCAGAGCTCTGGGCTGGACAACAAGGTGGGGGTCGGGCACAAGACTCGATGGTCTTGGAGGGCTTTTTTAATCATGATTCCGTGATTCGGTGATTCACTGATCTAGGAGGAAGCTGTATCTGCGGGGGATTATGTTCCAAGGATGAGGCAAGAGCTGATTAAACACCAATTCCAAATTCACTTTTGAACAGACTCGGTCATTAAGGGAGAGCAAACAGCATTAAGCAACGTCTTACAAGGGGTTTTCTGTGACTCAGCTCATTACAGAAGCAATGGCTGTAGCAACCAGGGCCTGATATCCATCGGTGGATGCTGCAGATGGATTCACACAAGGCCTGACCAAATCGGGCAGTGGTAGGAAATGATGCACCTCACCAGAGGCATTGGGTGGGCATAATTAATTACTGGAATAATTAATTATCTGGTAGGAGAAATCACAGTCACAAGCACAACACTGGACCACAGTGACACGGACTGCCTGTATACAAAGGTGTACCTTTTCAGGCACGTCTGGGGTAGGATTTTAGGGAAATTAAACCATAAATAGCAATCCAAAACCGCTGGAGTGGTTTTGGTTTTGAACCTTTTAAAGAGTGCTCTGGTTTGGCAGAGAGAAGAAAGCAGGAATTATCAGTTTTATTCCTTACTAAGCACAGGGACACTCAAAACACTTCACGGTTGGGACTCTAGTCAGCAGCAGAATCCATCTTCCCAGGAGGAGGCAAAGCTGGACTTGCCCAGTTTACTTTATCATGAAGTCATGGAGTTTTAAGACCTCCTTCTGCCTGGGGCCTGTCTACAGGTTTTCAAAGATTTTAGATGTTTATCACTCAGATGCCCAAGAACAATTGTATGAAGCAACTTATATTTAAAGAAAATCCTCGTTTATTACAGTTAAAATTCCACAAACATTTTAAAGAGGTTTTAGTTGTTTTGTTTTTTTAAAGCCGGAACTGCACCATTTTAAATCACCACAACAGAAGATAAAGCAATAATTCTTTTGCATCATGCCTCTGCTGCCCCTCTTCAGGAAAAAAAAAAAAAAAGACATAGTGTTTAAAGGACAATAATTAATAGAAGTATCACATCAAGAGTTTCTGTTTTAGTAAGCTAAGCAAATTTTGCATATAGCACAACTCCTCTACCTCATCCACAGATTTGGCATGGAAAATATATATCCCCTATAGTTTAAACAAGAGCTTCTGTTGCCACAATGCAATCCACAGTCCTTTAGTGAGGTCAAGAACAGACACAGCTTTTAAGGTGAAAGCCTCAAGTATTCCACTAGCACTTAGTGAAATTAAGATGCTAAGATACATTTACCTTCCACAGACAGGCTTATTCATAAGTTATTTAACCTAAACTCTAATCACACTAAATAGATGGTAGATGAAAAGTAGTTCCAGGGAGAAAAATACAATAACTTCAGCTTTCAAATATTTTAAACTAATAACAAACTAGATGCCATTTTAGTGGCAAAACAGACTCTCTCCTGCAAGCAATAAAGGTTTTTATTCAGCTAAAATGTGCAAAGAAAAAAAGTCTCAGAGAGCGAGAAATATCAGCAGTTCATATCGGACACAGGGGAATAAAATCCTTAGGAATTAACTCCTCTAATCCGTTTTCTTGTCATAAGCTCCCGGGGATCTCTTTGCAGCAATTCCATTTGCAATGCTGTTGCTTTCAAACTGCAAATAAAAGACAGTGCCATTAATGGATGCCAAAAAGAGGACTTCACACCCAAACAGCTGGAGACGAAACCGGGTTTTGGAGGCAAGGCCAGTGAAGATCTATGAAGAAATCTGCAGCAAGAACCAAAAGTGGTGGTGTCTGCGTAGATTTCCAAACAATAATTGCTTCAGAGGGAAGGGGGGAAATGAGAGCAGAGACAACGTTTACAAGTCTTTTAATTTTGACAGAAGAAATAAATAATAAATACACACTTTGCATGCACTAAACATCTTTCCCCAGTATGAGTGGCAGAGCTGGCTGAAGAGAGGGTTTTGGTTTTTTTTTAATTCTGCTTCATACATCTGGTGAGATTTACCAAATATTTGACTTTTTTCCTTCTCTGAAAGAATAGCCAGTCATTAAAAAAGCATAAATTAATTAAGCTGTTTCAGGAAACAAGAGCAATTCCTATCTCTCCAAGACCAGGAGCTGTCTTGAAGCCACTATTTCTAGCTGGCTCAGCAGTGGCAAGTCCTGTTCATAAGAAAACCTCCCCAAAAAGGTCTGTAAAACCACCCAACTATTTACCCTTCTGTGGTGCCCACCCTGAACTGCCCCCGAGTTTCCCTGGTTAGCTAAGTGAATTAATCTTACTTTATAGCTTCCAGATTCATACTCCAGGCCCCTTTTCGCGGCTGAAGGCGCTGGAGGATCCCCAGAGCTGCCTCCTTGTCCTTGTTTTGTGCCTGTTGGATCTTCCACAGCTTTCTTGGGCCACACACGTTTGATGAAGGGGGCGATCACGGGGTAGATGTACGGCTCCAGGAACTTCTTGTAGACCCAGAGGAGCACAGGAATGACAATGCAGGGAATGCACACCATGGCTGCCCCTTGCCCTGTGACAAAGCTGGTGAGGGAAAAAACCAGCTCGGAGTGAGAATGTTGTATGTCATGATCCAAGAAAACATATTAAATAAAGGCTGTAATTGATATTAGGACATAGAGTCTTCTTTAATTATAAATTAGCTGTTAAAGTTTTAAAAATGCTGCGTGTTTCAACATTACAAAATCCTCAACAAGGGGGACATTCTTCACATTTTAACAAAAAAACCCAATAATTTGTTATTAATTCATCAGTCCTACAGCTGCAACTCAGAAAGACTAATTCAGAAAATGAGAGTTTTTGCTAAAACCACACAAAAACAGCTTAAGCAGCAAGATATTAGCCCAGTTCTTGCTATAGGAAAGAGTCCAAAGGGTTTGTTTTTCTTAATCTCTTTAATTAAAGGGAAATTAAACAGCAGCACTCCAGTTCATCCAATGGTCTGCTATCACTGAAGGGCTACCACTGCTATCACACTGGGAGAAGGAAGAAAATCCCAGGGAGGATTCGAGAGAAACAGAATATGAGTTATTTCCGTCCTCCTGCCCAAGAGGAAGGAGGATCTTCCTCTTGATCCCACACCAATCCCACACAATTAACTACTAGAAAATGAACCATCCCCTCTCTCTGTAACCCACAGAGAAGTCCTCAAAATTGGCAGCCTGGAGTCTGTGCTAAAAAAAAAAAAAAAAAAAAAAGGGCAGAAAACCAAAGCAGAGGGGCAGAGAGGTACAACTGGGAGAGGAAGCAGTTAAGTGGGATTAGAGCTGTCCCTGCCAGTGCTGACGAGCAATACATTAGACACACTCTGCTGCTACAGAGCTTTGCCCTTCACATTCCTCCTTTCTAGGCTGCTGACATCTCAGTTCTCGCATTAAGAAGCAAAACAAAAGCCTTCCAAGATGGAGAATGAACAGGCAGATGTGTACGCTTCACTAGGGAGAAGTTTTAAGCTATCCTAAAGATTTTAAGCCCCGTGAAAAAAGAGAATATCGATTTCCAGTTGACTACTTCCAAGTTCTGTTCTGGCTGCTTCAAATATAGTTTAAATCTGCTCTCTGAAGTCTAGGAGGAATCTTAAATTGAGACAACATGACTCAGGTACTCTCTTCACCAGAACTTCCTAGATACTAAATTTCCAGCAAGATGTTGAGGATTCATCCAGCTGCTGAATAAAGTGGCTGGAGGGAACACCCCAGGATATAGAATTATCACAGAACCACAGAATACTTTGGGTTGGAAGGGATTTTAAGGATCATCTTGTTCCACCCCCTGCCATGGGCAGGGACACCTTCCACTAGACCAGGTTATTCCAACCTGGCCTTGGACACTTCCAGGGATCCAGGGGCAGCCACAGCTTCCCTGGGCAACCTGTGCCAGGGTCTCACCACGCTCACAGCCAGGTATCCCTTCCCAATATCCCATCTAACCCTGCTTGCTGGCAGTGTGGAGCCATTCCCCCTTGTCCTGTCACTCCCATGCTCTGTCCCGAGGAAACAGCACGTGCTGTGTTTTGTCTCTGCAGCCGCTTCGTGCCAAGATTCCAGGCCAAACAATCGCCCTTACCTATGCCAGGTTCACGAGTGACCCTCTGGAGCCACCCGTCCCAACAGGGGGAATCACCGTCCTGATGGATTCCTGCTGTCACCTGGCGAGCAAGAAAAACACATTAAAAAAAAAAAAAGGAAAAAAGGAAAGTAGGGAGGAAAAAAAAAAAAAGAAAAGGTCAGGTTTTAACAGGTTATTTCTCTGCGACAGGAGGTTTCGCTCCTCAGTGTGAGCCCCCACACGCCGGGGGCACAGGGAACGCCGTGACAGGGAAAACCTCAGGGCGGTGGGGCCTTGCTCCCGGCGGATGCGGAGGCTGGAAAGCGCCACGCGGGCAAAAAGCCCGATTTCCCCCCGTTTTCTCGTAAAGGACGAGCCAGCCTGGAAGGGCGAGTTATGCCAGGAGGCGTTCCCGTTCTCCCCCGCGGAGGACGCTCGGGCCGCTACACCCCGCGCTCTCGCGGCGAGCGGCGGCGCCGGGCACGGGCGGCCGTGCTGGAGGGGCGGGGGCGAGGTGGGATACCGGGGGATACCGGGATATATCGGGATATATCGGGATATCGGGATCGCCCCCCGCGCCCCGCACTCACCGCGCCCGCACCGGAACGGCCCCGCGCTTCCGGGGCGCCGCTTCCGCCAATGGGAGGTGGCAGCGCGCGTCACGTGACCTTCAGCCCCGCCCCCACCGGCCGCGTTAGAGCCCCCCCCAAAATTCCAGGGGCAGGAACGGCGTCCCAAATTATCACGGTGTGCGGTACGGCATCGGCACCCACGCAGGAACAGGCAGACCGGCTTTAGATGGGACTCTGGGAAGGAATTCCTCCCTGTGAGGGTGGCGAGGCCCTGGCACAGGTTGCCCAGGGCAACCCTGGATCCCTGGAATGTTCAAGGCCAGGTTGGACAGGGCTTGGAGCAACCTGGGATAGTGGAAGGTGTCCCTGCCCATGGCAGGGGGTGGAACTGGATGAGCTTGAAGGTCTCTCCCAACCCAAACCATTCTGGGATTCTATGATTAGTGGCAATCCTCGGGGTTTGCTCTCTTTTGACAAAGAACTGCTTGGACCAACCTGGTCTACTGGAAGGTGTCCCTGCCCACGGCAGGGGGTTGGACTGCATGATATTAAGGTCCCTTCCAACCCAAACCAGTCTGTGATCCCATAATTCTCCCTGCCCATGTCCCACGGGTCAGAACCCAGAGCACAGAAACACACACACACGGAGTAAAATCTTAAGCTTTCTTGTTTTATTTATGTACATCTGTCTGTGCAGATTTACTCTCGGGCCATGAGCTTCTGCTTCTTCAGCTTCTTCTGGGAGATCTGGAAAACAGACACAAAAATGGGAAAAAGGTGGAATGAGAATATGGTGAAATGTGAAAACGTCTTCCCAAAACATCTCACAAGTTAATTTGCAAGATCTTCTGGAAGCACTGAGAGCTGTTAGAAATTCCCTCACTGATGATCCACTGATCACACCTGCACGCACACAGGAATCCCTATGCTGCTCACATGCTCTGAACTCAAGTTTAATTAAGTTTAATTGCACACACCCCACCTTCACCCACACAGTCAGGGAACGCTGTGGTTATGAGAAAGAAGAACAAACTCCCTGCACAACTGAGGGGAAAAAAAAGGTTCTTAGGGTTTTTAAGTGCTTAATATTGTGTTAAAGTTAAAAATGGGGTTGCTCAGAAATAACTGATTTTTTTTTCATGGGAATTCCAAAGGTGTCCTAAGATAGTCATCACAGCAACCCCTCTGCTGAATGCTTGGCTCCGATGACGTGACAGGGAAAAAAGGCACACAGGGCCCTCCATACCTTTTTCTTCTGGGCCACTTCCTCCTCTGGCTTGGGCACAATCTGCTCCTTCTCGGTGAGGATCATCTCGATGTGGCACGGGGAGCTCATGTAGGGGTTGATCCTGCCGTGTGCCCGGTACGTGCGCCGGCGCATCTTGGGAGCCTTGTTCACCTGGATGTGCTCGATCACCAGGGAATCCACATCGAGGCCCTGGAGAGAAGTAAAACCTGTCACTCATTTTCCATCTGCAGATCAACCATCTCCGCAGCAAGAATGTGAGTTATCGTCCCAGTCACCACTGCCGGTGAATGAACACCCAAGCCTGGCTGCAACAGGGAGCTGAGGGTTTTCCAAGGATTCGCTAAAGAAACACCCAAGCTTGTCAGTGTCACGGAGCTGAGGATTTTCCAAGGATGCACCAACAAAACAGCCAAGCTTGGATGTGTCACAGACCTGGGGATTTACCAATGGAACACGGTGGTGCATGGATCTGAGCATTTCCAAGGATTCACCAATGGAACAGCCAAGCTCAGCAGTGTCCCAGAGCTGAAGATTTATGAAGGATTTACCAACAGAATACTCGAGCATGGCAGTGCCATGGATCTGAGGATTTACAAAGGACTGACCAATGAACAGCCAAGCTCAGCAGTGTCCCAGAGCCAAAGATTTACAAAGGATTTACCAATAGAACACCTGAGCATGGCAGTGCCATGGACCTGAGGATTTACAAAGGATTCACCAATGAAACAGCCAAGCTCAGCAGTGTCAGGGAGCTGTGGATCCACCAAGGATTGACCAAGGAAACAGCTGGGCCCGGCAGTGCCATGGAGTTCCCTGTCCCTCTGCGTCAGTGATGCAGGTCAGGGTCGCTGACAGGCAGACGACAGGGACACTCTGTGCCCAGTAACACCCACCTTGAGCTCAGCATTGCTCTCTGCATTCTTGAGCATGTGCAGCAGGAACTCTGCGCTCTTCTTAGGCCAGCGGCCCTGTGTCCAGCCCCACTGCTTGGCCTGGAATGAGAGGGCAACAGTGAACTTCCACTTTTATCCCAGTACAGTTCACCCTTCAGGGACCACGAACTTGCCATAATCCTGGAATGGCTTAGGTTGGAAGGAACTTTAAAGACCATCTCATCCCACCCCCTGCCATGGGCAGGGACACCTTCCACTAGACCAGGTTGCTCCAAGCCACGTCCAACCTGGCCTTCAACACTTCCAGGCATCCAAGGGGCAGCCACAGCTTCTCTGGCCAACCTGTGCCAATGTGAAGCCGGTCCCCTTGTCCTGTTACTCCACACCTTATCCCAAGTCTCTCTCCAGCTCTCTTGGAGCCCCTTTAGGCACTGGAAGGGGCTCTAAAGTCTTTCTAGATCTCACCTGGGCACATCTCCCCCATTTCCCTAGCATCTCACCTGGGCACACCTCCCACAATTCCCCTGGGATCTCACCTGGGCACAATTCCCACATTTCCCCTGGGAACTCACCTGGGCACACCTCCCACATTTCCACTGGAAACTCACCTGGGCACACCTCCCACATTTCCCCTGGGATCTCACCTGGGCACACCTCCCACATTTCCCCTGGGATCTCACCTGGGCACAACTTCCACATTTCCACTGGGATCTCACCTGGGCACATCTCCCACATTTCCACTGGGATCTCACCTGGGCACATCTCCCCCATTTCCCTAGCATCTCACCTGGGCATACTCCCCCATTTCCACTGGGATCTCACCTGGGCACACTCTCCTGTTTCCCCGGGATCTCACCTGGGCACAACTCCCACATTTCCACTGGGATCTCACCTGGGCACACCTACCAACGCCCCCGTTGTAGCGCCGGAAGGGGACACACTGCTTCTTCAGGGTGACATCCTTCAGGTACTTGGTGGCCTTGCGGATGTGCATTCCCTTGATGGCCTGCGCAGTCTCCCGGGTGTTCTACAACACAAGGCATGCAAAAGTTCCTTTTAACACATCTTTCCAACGTAACCATGGATCCCAGAGACCCTTGTCCTTTGGCTACAAAAGAGGCACTCAAAAAAAACCTCCTCAAACAATGAAGAATAATTAATAACACTTTTTTTCTTTGCTATCTGCTTTTCTAACCCTTGGTGTAACTACCACTGCTGATTCTGTGGCTCCAGCACACTTTTACTGTGTTTTACCAAATGGCTAAATCCAACCAACAAAATTTTAACTTTTGTTAACAATGTAATTCCAGGCAATGCAATTTTCCTGTGAAGGAATTGCAAAGGGGAGAGAAGAAAAGGCTTAAAACAAAAAATTAAGGATAAAACCTCAGTGTTAAGATAGCATTTACTAACTGCACAAGTCAGAAAGTAACTATAATCCTGATGGTAATAAAAAGGCAAACCGAAGTGAAAACTTGGGATATTGGGAAAGAATTCTTGCTTATGAGGGTGGTGAGGCCCTGGCACAGGTTGCCCAGAGAAGCTGTGGCTGCCCCTGAATCCCTGGAAGTGTCCAAGGCCAGGCTGCACGGTGCTTGGAGCAACCTGGGATAGTAGAACATGTCCCTGCCCATACCAGGGCATTGAAGTGGGATGATCCTTAAAATCCCAGTCCGGGATTCTTTAAAAAAATAATATAAAAATTAACAAAACCAACATAAAACCCAACCGAATTTGCACTTCCTGCTCACCACACACTCCTTACCTTGAAGTGCACCCGCAGGTTGGACCCCCGTGACTTGCACGCTGCGGGAGAGAAAAAAGACCAACATTTGGAATCAAAAACCTCAGCGGCTTCCCCGTGGTCCCACACGAACTCTCCCAAAACATCAACTCACATTTGGTGGGGTTCTCCGGGTCCAGGGAGTAGCGCACCATCTTGGGAGCTCAGCTGGAAAACACCGATTAAAACAAAAATCACATTAAACCCGCAGCACACCGGCACGCAAGGCCCGGACCGCTCGCCCCACAGGCGCGGCCGCTCAGGAATTTCGCTTTCTTTTCACGGTTACATCCAAAGGTGTCCTAAGAGAGTCATCACCGCAGCCATGGAGTCTCACAGGGAGCGCTGCCCCTCCCGCGCCCCCCACAACCCCATCGGCCCCCTGCCTGCCCTCCCGCGCGCCATCCCCGGGGAATACCGCGGGCGCGGGGCGCGTGGGACCGCTCCCGATGTGCGGGAGGGCGCTGGCGGGCGGGATGGGCGAGGATGGCGGCAGATGGCGGCAAGCCCGGGCCGGCCATGGCTCCTCACCTCGGGATGGCGGCGACGGAGAGGGAGGGATGGGGGCGGAGCGCGCCCGCAGCGCGTGCGCGATCTCGCGAGACTTCCGCCATGGCGGCGGGGCCGCGCCCTGAGGGGGAGGGAGGCGGGGCCCTTCTGTCATAGAATCATAGAATCAGCTGGCTTGGAATGGACCTCCGAGATCATCAAGTCCAACCCTTGATCCACTGCTGCTGTGGTTACTAGACCATGGCGCTAAGTGCCACATCCAGTCTCATCTTAAAAACCTCCAGGGACGGAGAATCCACCACTTCCCTGGGCAGCCCATTCCAATGTCTGATCACCCTCTCTGTGAGGAAATTCTTTCTAATATCTAACCTAAACCTCCCTTGGCACAACTTGAGACCATGCCCTCTTGTCTTGCTGACAGTTGCCTGGGAAAAGAGACCAACCCCCACCTGGCTACACCCTCCTGTCAGGGAGTTGTAGAGAGTGATGAGGTCTCCCGCGCGCGTTTTGAACAAAACCTGGCGCCGTTTTGTTTTATGGGCGTCCGAAGGAGGGCGACGGAGACGGGAAAAGGGCGTGAGGGGAAGCCGTGTGAGGAGCGGCTGAGGGCACTTGGTGTGTTCAGCCGGAGAAGAGACTGAGGGGAGGCGTCACTGCAGTTCCAATGCCTGGGCAGGGGCAGAGGAGGGGCAGGGACTGAGCTCTGCTCTGGGGGGACCAGGGACAGGACCCAGGGAATGGCTGGAGCTGTGTCAGGGCAGGGTCAGGTTGGATCTCAGGGAAAGGTTCTTCCCCCAGAGGCTGGTTGGGCACTGCCCAGGCTCCCCAGGGCAGTGGGCACAGCCCCAAGGCTGCCAGAGCTCCAGGAGGGTTTGGATGATCCTCTGGGGCACATGGGGTGACTCCTGGGGATGGGCCTGTGCAGGGCTGAGGGTTGGACTCGATGATCCCTGTGGGCCCCTTCCAACTCAGCCTATTCTAGGATTCACAGTCGGCTCACGGACAGGTGCTTTTAGTGAGGGAATCACACAATACCAGAATCATTGAGGTCGGAAAAGCCCTCCCAGACCATCGAGTCCAACCTGTGCTCATCTCCATCTTGTCACCCAGCCCAGAGCACTGAGTGCCACATCCAGGCATTCTTTGGACACCTCTGGAAACGGGGACTCCACCACCTCCCTGGGCAGCCCTTTCCAAGGCCTGACCACCCTTTCAAGGAGGAAATTCCTCCTGATGTCCAACCTGAACCTCCCCTGGCACAACTTGAGACTCTTGTCATCTTATCCTGTCCCTTGTTCCCTGCAAGAAGAGTCCAACCTCCACCTGAGATCACATAATCAGAAAATTGTTAAGTTTGGAACAGACCTTTAAGATGATCGAGTCCAACCTTCGTCCCAGCAGCCTCACCATGTTCACCATTAGGTGGCAGCTTAGGATGGGAATAGAGCAGCACATCGCTCACTGAGGTGACCAGGAAACCAGAGCAAAGAGACTTCTGTTTATAAATCACAACTGCTGTTTATTGCACCGTTATAAAATAATCACAGACTGACTCGTTAAGATGAAAGATATTTCTTTTTTCCATTTTAGGCAGCGTTTGTGACTAGAACTGTTTGGGAAATCTGACAAAAGCAGCTCAGTAAAAGCAAAACATTTTCTAAAAGTGGTACTTGGCTGCAGCAAAAGGCTCATTGAGACAAGTTTGATAGAATGGGAAAAAAAAAGAGGCACATCTTCCTGAGAGG